TCCCACAACCTTCATTTCTAACGGCTGCTGGCATTGGACAAAAGATGACGGTGGAGCTCTGCCTTTTGTCAACCTCAGGCTTCAAAGTAGCCCCTTCTTTGTCTTATATATTTGAATTGCGTTTGAATTTCAATGAAATTCCAACACAGTCTTGATCAGTATTTTATTAAGAATATATCTTTATAGTCTAGTCTAAGCAGCACTGAGGAGATGGGCTGCTTGGAACCCCAGTTTGGTTTAATGCATTCCTATGAGGAGATGGAAGGAAAGCGCCAGGAGACTGTAGACACTATAACTCTCGTTTGAGCAGGGTCCTCTTTAGGAATCGACCGATTATCGGTCTGGCTAATATTCTGTATTTTCAGCAATATATCGGTATCGGTCTATAGAGAGACCGATCTTGCCGATAATACATACCACGAGGGTCCTGGAGGGCCGGCAGCAAGCTCTTACTTACCTTCCCAGCAGCTTCCTTCAGCACCCCTGTGTAAATCTTGTGAGTCCCGCGGCCGCCAGAGCATTGCCAGGGGAACTGAATAGAAGGTAAGAGCTTGCTGCGGGCCCCCACTGCACAGTCCATGCCACAGGACCACCAGGGAATGCCATATCCCCCCTCCCTGGCAAAGTAAGAAGCGGGAGGGGGGGCTAAAATAAACAAAAAAACAATTTTAAAAAATAAAATGTAAATATAAAATGCCCCCCCCCCATTTTGCACAAATTATATACGTACAGAAACACGCACACCACATTCACTAAACACACACACACTACACAAACACTAATTGCATACACTATACATACTACACACTCTGTATTCATTATATCCACACTACATCCACTACACACACACACTACACAAACACACAACACAGCTCCCCTGCCTATACACACTGTATCCACTACATGTGGCATGTATATTTTGTGCATTTACCTTTAGAAATAGTTTATTTTTTCAAAATGGTAAATGTACAGAATATCAGTAAGTTATCGGCTATCGGCCTGAAAGTTCACAGATGATCGGTATCTGCTCTAAAAAAATCAATATCGATCGATCCCAAGTTCTCTTCAAGTTGTTCCTGTAAGTTTTTGTAATTGTCTTACTTATTTTTAAATCTATTGTTAAATATTGCAAAGCGCTACGGAATATGCTGGCTCTATATAAATACCAATAATAATAATAATAATAATAATAATAACCACTTAACCCCTTAAAGATGTAGGCAGTTGTACAAGTTTAGATCAAAACAAAACCTGGAATTTGCGCTACATTTTGTTGAACTATAATTCACCACTTTCATATTAAATACACCCACACTGGCTTTCATTTCACATCAAATTTAAAAAATTGTTCTGCGTGGTATTTTAACTGTGAATGTCATGATACTGTTAGCTGTTACTGCAATAGAGTCCACATATTTGTATTCAGTGATGTCTCCTGAGTACAAATGTACCCACAATGTACAGGTTCTATGGTGTTTTGGAAAGTTACAGGGTCAAATATAGCACATTACATTTTTCAGTTATATACATTGAACTTTGCCAGACTGGTCATGTTGCCTTTGTATTAATTATCCACAGACTTCAGGTGGAAGGGGTTTTTTTAAAAAAAATTTCCCCACCATAACCTTTTTGGTTTTTGCTTCCCAAGCACTACCAAGACTCAATAGCCAACCAGTAACCAACCTCATGCTGATGATTTGCATTAACCATGGAACAGCTGTGCATGAGTGGATCACTGGCTTTGCATCTTTTCCTAAGTTGTGTTTCAAAGCTGTTGTATACAGCAAACACAGACTCAAAGGAATCCATGTTTAACCCCCTTACGGACTGAGTCAAATGTACACGTTGCGATCAAAACAAAACTTAAACAAAACCTAGCATTTGCACTATATGTCTGTCCAACCGTAATTACCGTAACTCACCTCTTTCATATTAAATACACCCACACTTATATATAATTTTATTCAGGGGAAACAGGACTTTCATTTAACATCAAATATTTAGCTATGAAACATAATTTAATATGAATATTTTAAAAAGGGAGAAAATAATTTTATTTATTTTTTTAGTCTACATGACATTTTAACTGTGAATGTCATAATACGGTTTGCTTTTACTGCAATAAAATACACATTTGTGTTCAGCGATGACTCACATGTAAAACAGTACCCCCTATGTACAGGTTTTAAGGTGTTTTGGGAAGTTACAGGGTCAAATATAGCATGTTAAATTTTTCAGTTTTTTCACATTGAAATCGCCAGATTGGCTACGTTGCCTTTGAGACCGTATGGTAGCCCAGGAATGAGAATTACCCCCATGATGGCATACCATTTGCAATAGTAGACAACTCAAGGTATAGCAAATGGGATATGTCCAGTCTTTTTTAGTAGCCACTTGGTCACAAACACTAGCCAAAGTTAGCGATAATATTTGTTTGTGTGTGAAAAAATGCAAAAAACCTAATTTGAATGCCAATTTTGGCCAGTGTTTGTGACATTTTTATATATATATATATATATATATATATATATATATATATATATATATTATTAAAATACACTTATACAGTGTATGTATATGTATATATATATATATATATATAATCTATGATCTAAGTATATATTTGATTTCAAACTGTGTTTTAACTTTTTTTTTTTTTTTACCGATTACATGTCATTACAGGCACTCCCCCTGCTGGCATTGCTATGGACGGCTATGCCGTCCATGTGATCCCACTTGGGCCATGTGATCGTGAGGTCCTTGTGATCACATGGCCCAAGTGGGATGCCAGGTGAGTCCCCCCACCACGATCGCCGGCGACCGGGTAAGTGAATAGGACGGCGGGGACGTTCTATGCCGCCCGCGTTTAGAGCCAGGTCCCCAAGGACGGCATAGAACACCTGCAGTCCTTAATGGGTTAAATGAAAGGAGGCAAAAATGTGATTCTTTGTTAAGCTAATTTGCAAATGCCCACCCAGAATCCTTTGTGGAGGTCACATCACACAATTTTTTATTGGACTAACAAAGATGTGCCTGAAAGTAAAAGGTGCATGTTGACTGCCAGAATAGCCAGAATGAAGTAAACAGAGGAGAGTCCATCTAGTTAAAAAGAAGAAAAGAACCCCCAAAACAATAAAACAGCAAAGCAAGGCATGCAAGTATATAGCTGCATATATGTATGTATATAAATTGATCCAATAAAGTTGAAGCGAGAATACTGGAAAAGTGCTATAAGATATTAAGATGTGTGTTTATAAAAAGTTTTGGTAGTGTGTGAGAGAGCCAGAGTCTACATTAAGTCCTTAATTTCTGCTGTTGAAATTTGATCATTTTCATATCAAATGTCTTTCGTTCGTGAGAGTCTTTGAAATTCCCTTTAAGAACTTTAATCCTGAGGTTTTGGATGGAGTGCCCAGTCTGGGTGAAGTGATGACCAACAGGGGTACAATATCCATTTTCCTTGTGGTTCTTGATTGAGTGTCTGTGTAGATTCATTCTGAGATGCAGCTTAAGGCCAATTTTTCCAATGTAGCCACATTTGTCACACACTGTACAATGTACACCGCATACGCAGATGTGCACGAATATGATCCCTTAAAGCTAAACTGTATGCACCCAGGCCCCTTCAGCTAATTGAAGTGGTCTGGGTGCTGTGACCCTTTTGCACTTAGTGCTGCAATGTAAAACATTACAGTTCCAGAGAACTGCCATGTTTACATTGCAGCTCTAAGTCTGCCCTCTGTGGCTGTCTAACAGACAGCCACTAGAGGTCTTCCAGAATCCAAACTGACGTTTGGTCCGTTATTTGACGCTAGACGTCCTCACGGACCTCAAGCTTCAGATTTTCCCCATAGGAAGGCATTGAATAATGCTTTTTTTATGGGGCGGTCTAATGCACGCGCAGCATATGCATTAGGTCTCCCCCGCCAGCTGACATAGGCGTGGGAGACGCTGGATTCAGGTAAGTGGCTGAAGAGGTTTTAACCCCTTCAGCCATGCAGGAGAGGGCGCGAGGGAGGGGGGCACTTCAGGAGCCTATAGTGCCAGGAAAATGGGTTTGATTTCCTGGCACTATAGGATCCCTTTAATGTTGTATTATTTGTTATTGTGTCTGGCTATGTTATTGCCACATATATGTTGATACAGTTTGCAGAGTGATTTGTTGCATTGTACAGTGCCATTCTGTGTGAGTTCCTGTTCTGTGGTCAATTTGCTGCGGACCAGTCTCTGTCTCAGGTAAGGCAGTTGTTTGAATGCTAGTATGGGGGGGCCCAGCAAATATTTGGGTGTGGGTGTGGTGACATTCTGTCATCAAACTAATATGGTGACCAGGGATCATGTGACCAAGCTCATGTATGCCTTTCTTGGGGGTGGGGTAAGCTTTACCTTTTGAAATGGTAATTGGGTAAAGAGGTAACCACTTCCCCCTATCTCCATTCCTCCCTGTTCCTTCTTGGCTCTGCTACTGAGCAGTCCCTTAAGCAGACATGGCCTAATTTCTATCATGGTGAACTGTGAGTGGGATTTTATAAAATGTAGTTATTGTTAGTTAGGTTGTTGTTGCTGTTGTTGGTGGAATAGTTAGATTGTATATCATTATTTGTATGTTGTTGTTGTTTTGTCTCTGAATAAATATTTGTTAAAGTAGACGGACCAGAGTTTATATGTGTATGCGTACATAATATTTTATAGAGTTTGGTAATACACCACATTTGGCGACCACGAATTTTAGACTTCTACAACAAATGTTTTTGAGGCGCAATAACTACCATATTGATACATAATCTAAGAGAAAGAGACTTTATAGCATAGGATTCATTTTGTTGAAACAAATATACATATTTGTTTTGTTGACTGTTTTGAATTTGTGTATTGTGACTGACAGACCATATTTTGATGCAAATTGTAGCATTTATAGGTTTAACTTTGTTTCTGTACAGTTTTAAAGTATTGGTGATAAAAGGGGAAAATTGAATTGCATTGGAACCTTTGATGTTTTGGCCATTTTTAATAGCCCATGTGCTGTATTGTCTCTCTCCTGTTGCATCTAACTAGAACTAAACTGAATATATTGTAATTGTTTTTAGATGTTACATTTTGTACATTTTGTGGCTTCCCTGCATTCTAAGTTTAAATAGCAAACTGTTTTTTTTTTTGGTGGGTTATCTTTTGTCTGTTTGAACCATTGAATTCTGGGTAGGAGCATTGTGTTTACATGATAAAGGTATTGGGGCTAATACAGTGTGGTGGCTATTGTTTAGCCAGGCTAAAATTTAAATTTTTACACTGTGTGTTTAATAGAGAATGAACAGTTTGTATTTGAGGTAAATGTGCCTATGTTAGATTGTTATATGGTTGGGAATTATCATTGTGCTGAAGTTACAGTCAGGTATTTTTCAGTTCCCATACCTTCCTTTAAATCATTCTGTTTATTTGTAAACCCCCCACACTGCACTTAACCCCTTAAGGACGGAGCCAAATGTACACAGTGTGAACGAAACAAAATGTAAACAAAACCTGGCATTTGCGCTACATGTCTGTCCAACCGTAATACACCCCTTTCATAGTAAATGCACCCACCCTTATTATATATCATTTTATTCAGGGGAAACAGGGCTTTCATTTAATATCAAATATTTAGCTATGAAACAATTTAATATGAAAAAAATGGGAGAAAATACGTTTTTTTGGGATTTTTTTAGTTCTACATGACATTTTAACGGTCAGTGTCATAATACTGTTTGCTTTTACTGCAATAAAATACACATATTTATATTCAGTAAAGTCTCACGTGTAAGACAGTACCCCCTATGTACAGGTTTTATGGCGTTTTGGGAAGGTACAGGGTCAAATATAGCACGTTACATTTGAAATTGAAATTTGCCAGATTGGTTATGTTGCCTTTGAGACTGTATAGTAGCCCAGGAATGAAATTTACACCCATAATGGCATACCATTTGCAATAGTAGACAACCCAAGGTATTGCAAATGGGGTATGTCCAGTCTTTTTTAGTAGCCATTTGGTCACAAACACTGGCCAAAGTTAGCGTTAGTATCTGTTTGTGTGAAAAATGCAAAAAACGCCAATTTTGGCCAGTGTTTGTGACTAAGTGGCTACTAAAAAGACTGGACATACCCCGTTTGCAATACCTTGGGTTGTCTACTATTGCAAATGGTATGCCATCATAGGGGTAATTTTCATTCTTGGGCTACCATAGGGTCTCAAAGGCAACGTAACCAATCTGGCCAATTTTAATGTGAAAAAAATGAAACACAAACCTTATATTTGAAGCTGTAACTTTTGAAAACACCATAAAACCTGTACATGAGGGGTACTGTTGTACTCTGGAGACTTCGCTGAACACAAATATTTGTGTTTCAAAACAGTAAAAAGTATCGCAGCAATAATATCATCCGTGTAAGTGCTGTTTGTGCGTGAAAAATGCAAAAAACGTCACTTTTACTGGCGATATCATTGTTGTAATACATTTTACTGTTTTGAAACACTAATATTTGTGTTCAGCGAAGTCTCCCGAGTAAAACAGTACCCCCAATTTACAGGTTTTATGGTGTCTTGGAAAATTATAGGGTTAAATATAGTGCTAGCAAATTAAATTCCCTATACTTTCGGCATGGGTTGTCAGGCAGGTCCCGCTAATTGTAATTAATTAGGATACCTAATTATGTAAAAATATTACATAAATATATGTGTAGAATTAATATATGTATATATATATACATATGTGTATATACAGGGCCGGTGCAAGGATTTTTGCCGCCCTAGGCAAAAGTAAAATTTGCCGCCCCCCCATGTGACATCACAATGCCCCACCCATATGATTTGCCATGTTAACTAACGCCAGTGCTGCAGTGCCGCTGTGTTTACATTAAAAGGCCTGCAGGGACAGGCTATAGACACCAGGACCACTACATTAAGCTGCTGTGGTTCTGGGGACTATAGTGTTTCTTTAATGTGAGGTAAATTAGAGATTAGTGCCACGAATAATATATTACCTACTTACAAGCAGATGAGGATGATGATGGGCTCTAGCTGCAGTCTGGCTCCACTGGTCTGGTGTATAACAGGATCTCTGGAGGCTGTTTGTAACTGTGGTCACACAAATCAATGTTCTGGGAGAGCGAGAAGCAGCTCCATTTTTTGGGGGCCCTTTACACAGCTCAAGGTCTGGGTCCCAGGGTCCACCTTCATTTTCCACCAATGAGTTTGTTCACAGGGGATGGAGTGTGTAGGGGATGTCCTGATTTGTGTGTAAGGAATGCATTGTGTGAATCTGTGTTTGTATGTGTAAGGGATGTAAGGGATGAAGTGTGTGAGTCTGTAAGGGGTGCTTTGAGTGTGCTTAAGGGGTGCATTGAGTGTGTGTAAGGAATGCATTGTGTGTTTCTGTGTGTGTAAGGGATGCATTGTGTGTAAGGGTTGCATTGCGTGTGTGTGTGTGTAATGCATTGTGTGTTTTTCTGTGTGCAAGGGGTTCATTGTCTTTGTGTGTAGGGGGTGCATTGTGTGTGATTGTGTGTGTGTGTGTGATGGATGTCAATCTCTCCCCCCTCCCTTGTCACTCTCTTCTCCCCCCCTCCCTTGTTACTCTCATTCCCCCTCCCTCCCCTGTCACTCCCCCCTCCCTGTCAATTTCTCTCTCCCCGTCAATTCCCCTCCCTGTCAATGTCTCCTCCCTCCCTGTTAGTTCCCCCCTTAGTTTCTTCCCCCCACCTCCCTGTTAGTTTCTTCCCCCCCGTTAGTTTCTTTCCCCCACCTCCCTGTTAGTTTCTTTCCCCC